TATATATCGGTAGCGTTGTTCATACAAACCTGAAAAGGAGGAGAATTTGTGGATGCAATGGACGCCTTTCGCTGTGCGTTGAAAATTCCTAAATGAAATGAAAGGCGTGAGAAAGGAGGAGATTACTTTCGGTGGTAGACGCGACGCGAGCCTTTGAAAAGTGCCAAGTCTGTGTTTCTTTTTATTAGGCTGCAACCCATGATTGGTTTAGAGCCCTTCAGGTTCAGGCCCATGTGAATGAGTTGTGATCCGATGCGGTTGTAGCTTTGCGCAATATTGTGCATGTGCATCGAATCTAATCACGGAAAGTTTCACCCTTACGTTCATCACCGTACATAGTGCTGACCTTTTAGGGTAGATGTATCACTAGTGTGGGTGATCAACGGACGGACATGAAATGACGCGTTTTTTAATTTTGTAATTAAATTTTGTTAAAGCTTCGTGGGATGAACTTAAATTTGGGGAAAATGACGGAAAAGAGGGCATCAACCAACCATCAAGTGGGTGTCCCGAGAAAATTGGGAGAATGATATTCCAAAAAGAGTAAAATGCTTAGATTCACTCCCTTGATTATAACATTAGAGACAAATTTTCCGCTTAATAAAAAAATTAAAAACAAATTATCTAACTAATATATTAATAATCCTAATGAGGTGATTTATCAATTAAAAATTTAAATTTTGAATATTGAATTGAGTGAAAAAAAATTTAAGAATGAAAGATAATTATTCTTTTTTATATAATTCATAATCAGGTATTCAAATATATATTAATTTGAGTAAATAATTTAAAATTTAACATATGACATCATATTACATTATTTTTTAAGATAATATTTGCTTAAATAGTTCCAACCTTTTTAAAGTTTCTAAGCCAAAATTTACCAATAATTGCTTCAGTTAAGTTCTTAGTAAAAATTCTAGTTGAATTTTATGGTACTCACAAGAAACTTTAAAACATGGAAAAGCCTGTGAAATTCCAAATCTTTAGGATTTTTTCAATTCTTTGGTTTTCTTTTAGTCAACTCCAAATTATGGATGGGCAACCCATTTCTAGCTATTATTTTTTTTTATTAACCTCCCAGTATTCAATAATCACTTTGAATCCCACCTAATCTGGAATCAAGCCGCGCCAAACTTTATTAGGGAAAAGCTCTCCTAGCGCTTATTTCTACATTCACAAGATTCGAACTTGAGATCTTGTTGAAAGAAAACCGAGAACTCTTTTTATTCGAACCAACAAGTCATTGCTATTTTTAGCGATTGTTGGCAATTGCGAATCTCTCTTAACACAATTATAATAGGAGTACATTACCATAACTACCATGATAGCAACAATATATAAATATATATAATTGTTTTGTTCCTTTTCTTAAGTTAATTAAAATTTAAAAGTGTATAAATACAAATCTAAGTTAAAAACCCTAAATTAAAGTTGGTTCATTCAAGGGATGATATATCACTTTCACTTAGAATATTTTCTATTGCAAATTAATTTTTTTTAGATGTTACATAATATTTTAAATTTATAAATGAAAAAATTACAAATAAATGAATTTGGCACGAATTAGTAGGGTAATGGGAAAGGATTTTATTGCCAAACTCTTTTGACAAGTAATTAATTACCAAAAAATATCTTCGACATGGTATTAATAATAAAAATCATTATTACAAAATTGTGGCAACTAAAAAAAATATCTTACTTTAAATTCGAATTATATGATACGCTAATAGAATACATTAAATGAAAGTTAATTACATTATATTGTGCAACTCAAAATTAAGAAAATAATAATAATAAAAAATCCTACCCTACCAGGTGCGTCCCTCCCCAAATATCTGTTTCATTTGGAGTTGGCCAAAAATTTTAGCATTGTTTAAAAAATAAGGGTTTTTTTCTTCCGAAAAAAGAATGTTTTGGACAGGTCCCAAAAAATCTTAATTAAAATTTTCGTTAAAAACTGAATAAAAGCAATTAGCGATAGGATTAGACATAGCAATAATTTAGAAAAAATTGAAAACTACTT